GCCAGCCTGGTCACCCCCTTACTGCCCCCCCTGCCGGCCTGGTCACCCCTAACTGTCCCCTCTGCTGGCCTGTTCACCCCCTAACTGCCCCCCTGCAGGCTTGGTTACCCCCTAACTGCTCCCCTGCCAGCCTGATTACCCCTAACTGCCTCTGCCTCAGCCCCTGCCACTGTGGCTTTGTCCGGAAGGAAGTCGGACCTCCGGAAGATGTCCGGTTGACCTGGTCTAATTAGCATATTACCCTTTTATTAGTATAGATATTTAAAATGAGTACATTGGGCTCATTAAGAGGTAGATTTACTTCTATCTTCATATCTGTTTGAAATCAACCGATTTAAAAAAATCAGAATAAATCCAGATTGGTGGCCTAGATGTTCTTGGTGCTAAATTGTCATTATGTTTTCCTATAGTTAAACCTCATTACTGATGTTTCAGTGGATTTATAAAATGAATAGCATTGTCACTTATCACCTCTGTAAACTTGGCCAAATCTTTTAGCCTTTGAGTTATAGTTTCCTGTCCTAGTATGCTGATAACCCTCTTGCTCAGCTCACAAAGTCATATGGTAGAATGAAATCAGAGGGTCAGAAGGGAAGTAGGATTCAGATGAAGAGAGGTAAAGGCATGAAGATGAACAGCATAAGCAAAAGCAGAAAAGAATGGCAATTCTTGAAGTCAAATTTGCTCAGACTCCTGGTGGAATATTATATTTGTCTTTTCTACTGCCTGACTAATTAGGATATTGAAAGATTTGAAATAAGATCCTTGTGGAAAAGTAAAGGGTTCCAGAAACATGACAGAAAATTTAATAACTGTCTAAAATTATTTTGCTCTGTAGTCAAAAGATTCTGAGCAACTATTTTTCATTCTGTTAAGAGGACAGAACTGGGGGGATAGGTATGAGATGTTTGGAATCTGATGAAGACATTTGATTAAACATTAGAACCCATCAAAAATTGGAGTCCTCTTTTATCTTGGGTCATGATCATCTAGTTTTATATAAGTATGTGGAGCCACTGAAATTTCTATATGAGCAACTGGATCCTTTTTAACTATAAATTTACCTGGGTGTGGCTCTTGTTGTGAATTATAGCATATTCCTGCTATTGGGGAATAAGAGCAATACATGTAATACAGATATTCTATATTTTATTGTGCTTTATGGCATTGAATTTATAGAATTTATAAGAATTTAGAGCTGAAAGAGATAATAATATGACAAATATTGAGTACTAGTATGCTATACATTATGCTAATCTCTTTGCATATATTGTTGTACTTAATTCTTACAATTACTCTGTGAGATAGGTACAATTATCCTCTTTTATGAATTAGGTGATTGAAGATTATAGAGGTTAAGAAATTAACCCCAAGTCATGCATCTAAGAAGTGGTAGAGCCAGAATCATTAAAAATCTGATTGTATGCCTTAAAGATTATATGCTTCAGAGGTTTCCAGCCTGGGCTCTCTAGGTGTTTGGTAATCTAAAGTCATGTCCCCTTTCTACAACAAGAGAAACAATCAACAAAATGAAAAGACAATCAACCCACTGAATGGGAGAACATATTTTCCAATGATACATCTGATAAGGGGTTAATATCCAAAATTTATAAAGAACTCATACAACTCAACACCAAGACCCCCCAAACAATCCAATTAAAAAATGGGCAAAGGATCTAAAAAGACACTTCTCCAAAGAGGACATGCAAATGGCCAGTAGACATATAAAAAAATGCTTAACCTCACTAATCATCAGAGAAATGCAAATTAAAACCATGAGATATCACTTCACACCAGTCAGAATGGTTATCATCAACAAACAACAACTGTTGGCGAGGATGTGGAGAAAACGGAACCCTTGTGCACTGTTGGTGGGAATGCAGATTGGTTCAGCCACTGTGGAAAACAGTATACAGGTCCCTTGAAAAATTAAAAATGGAACTGCCTGGTAACCCAGCGATTCTACTTTGGAGTATATATCCAAAAAACATCAAACACTAATTTGAAAGAATATATTTACCCTTGATATTTACAATAGCCAATATATAGAAGCAACTCAAGTGCCCATCAATAGATGAGTGGATGAAAAGGCTGTGGTACATACAATGGAATATTACTCAGCTATAAAAAAGAATGGGATTTTACCATTTGCAACAGCATGGATGGACCTAGAGGGTATTATGCTAAGTGAAATCAGTCAGATAAAGACAAATAACAGCCCTAGCTGGTTTGGCTCAGTGAATAGAGTGTCAGCCTGCGGACTGAAGGGTCTGGGTTTGATTCCAGTCAAGGGCACGTACCTGGGTTGCAGGCTTAATCCCCAATAGAGGGCGTGCAGGAGGCAGCCGATCAATGATCTCTCTTATCATTGATGTTTCTCTCTTTCTCCCTTCCTCTCCGAAATCAATAAAAATAGAAATATTAAAAAAGACAAATAACATATGATTGCATTTATATGTGGAATCCAAAGAACAATATAAATGAATAAACAAAACAGAAACTGACTCCTAGATACAGAGAACAGACTGAGGGCTGCCAGAGGGGAGGGGCATTGGGGGACTGGGTGAAAAAGGTGAGGGATTTAGAAGTATAGATTGATAGTTACAAGATAGTAATGGGGATGTAATGTACAGCATAGGAAATAGAGTCAGTAATACTGTAATAACTATGGTGCCAGCTAGGTACTGGAATATATGAGGGGAAACATTTTGTAAAGCATATGATTGTCTAACCAATATGCTGTACACCTGAAACTAATACAATCATATTGAATGTAAACTGTAATGGGAAAAAAGTTATGTCCCCCTTCAATTCAATGTCATTCCACTATACCACCACCAGGGGGCGGTAACCGTAGCGTAACAAAATGTGCTAAAAATGAATTTAAATGGAGTTTATTGCATTTAGTATTTTAGTGTGTGTGTTTTTAATTTCAGTGCCAACTTAATGACTGAGATGTGATTATAATAAATTACAAGGATCAGACTTTTAGGATTTTTCTGATGCAATAGAGTGTATAAAAAGTAAAATATATAAATTAATTTGTCCTTTGTTACAAATAGAAGTTTGTTTGTAAAATGAATTACAATGAGATGCCAAGAGTGAATGAGGAGAAACATATTTTAGTTTTTGTTCTGGGTTAAATAAGTAAATGGCTATACTATTTTTATATTTGAATAGGTGTCATTTTTTGTCCTTGAAGGATTCAATTGCTTAGAGATCAGCACACTACTGCCACCACTAATAATCATTTGAGTAATGTTTTACATTATGCAGAGTATTTTCTATTAGGTTATTGCTCCAGAATTAATCTTTCCATCTTTTGTTTTCCCATTGTCCTCTGCACATAGTCCTGCACTGTATTTTAACTATTTTTTATTTACCCTCCTCAGTCCCTATCCCACTCCCAGAACAGTGTTCACTGTGATCTGATTGTGGGCCCTGTGGAGTTGCAGTACTGCCATGTTGAGTGGTGGTAAGCTTAGTACTGCCTCCTAGAGGCACAGGAGAAAACTGCAGAATTTGTATCTGCTGGAATTAAGAAGAAAAAAGTTAAAATCAATTATACTTAGAAATAAAAATGAAGCTTGGATTTACAGTAGAGTGTAGTGGGAACAAAGCATAGACTTTGGAGTCAGGAGATCTGGGTTTGAATTCCTTCCTTCCCCCATTTACCAATATTCATTCATTATCAAAGCTCCTGTATTTCTCCTTAATAGTATTTGTTACAACTGTAATTAAATAATCATTTGTTTAATGATTATATTTTCCACTAGGAAAGAGACTGTCAGTATTGTTCACAGTTATATTCCTTGCATTCAGCACAGGAACTGGTATAGTTTAGGTGCCCAATAAATGTTTGTTGAATAAATAAATGAATGAATATCTGATAAATTGGGTATTAAAATTGGCTTGACCCAATCTGAAGGGTTCGAAAAGGTTTCTCTGAGGATATTACATTTAAATTGAGACCTAAAGAATGAGTAGGAGTTAGCAAGACAAATGAGTAGAACAACATTCCAGGAGAAAGAACATCTGTTTAGCTCCTGAAAGGGAAAGAGCATAGTTTGAAGAAATACAGCCCTTTGTGACTGGAATGTAGAGAGGGGGAGAGTGGAGTGAAATGAGATTAAACAGAGGTTAGTTAAGTCATGCATAGGCTTCCAGACTTTTCTAAGGATTTTACACTTTATTCTAATAGAAATGGGAAGTTATAACGGTTTTGGTAGAAGAGAGCCATGATTAGATGTTTGTTTTGAAATGACTGCTGTGGCTGCAATCTAGTGGAGATTGGATTGGATGAGGAGAAATATGGTTGCTGGGAAACCATTAAAAAAGGCTATTGTATATCTATGAGTCTGTTTCTATTTTCTTTGTTTATTTTGTTCATTAGATTCTACATATATAAGTAAAATCATATGATATTTGTCTTTCTCTGACTGGCTTATTTCATGTTGCATAGTACTCTCCAGGGGAGGGGAGTTATAGGGCCGGATGCAAAAGATGAACGGATTAAGCAAAACAAAACAAAACAAACAAACAAAAAAAGCCATCAAGCCTAGCTGGTTTGGCTCAGTGGATAGAGTGTGGGCCTGCAGACTGAAAGGTTCTGGGTTTGATTCCAGTCAAGGGCACATGCCTGGCTTTCGGGCTCAATCCCCAGTGGGGGGCATGCAGAAAGCAGCCAATCAATGATTCTCTCTCATCATTGATGTTTATATCTCTCTCTCCCTCTCCCTTCCTCTCTGAAATCAATAAAAATATATTTTTTAAAAAAATCAAAAATTTGTATAAGAGGGAAAGGAAGGTGGGGGGAGGTAGAAGATGGTAAAGGGGGGATAAATGATGATGGAAAGAGACTTGACTTTGGATGGTGAACACAATATAATATACAAATGATGTATTATAGAACTGTACACTTGAAACCTATATACTTTTATTAACTAATGTCATACCAATAAATTTAATATATATTTTTAAGGCTATTGCAGAAACCTGGTGGTTTGGACAAAGATAATGGCGGTGGAGATGGAGAGAGGTGGAATAATACAAGAAATATTTAACAGGTAATATTATCAGGACTTGATGATTGATAGATAGGAGATAAAGGAGAGGGAGGTAGCAAAGTATGTCAATTAGGTTTTTGATTGAGTACCTGGGTAGATGGGGGTCTGTTTACTGAGATGAACACTGGAGGAGCCTAAAGGAACGGATTTTAGGAGGAAATGAGAGTTACTTCAGACATGTTGTGTTTGAAGTGCTTATGAGACATGTAAGTAAAAGTTGACGATAGGCAGTTGGGTATATGGGTTTGAACTTCAGGAAAGCATATTATAGTTCACAACTGTTCCACAAGAAGACAGAAAGAACCTTTTTATTTTTTTTTTATGATGGCATGGTATTTCATTGTATATACCAGTGGTCAGCAAACTCATTAATCAACAGAGCCAAATATCAACAGTACAATGATTGAAATTTCTTTTGAGAGCCAAATTTTTTAAACTTAAACTATATAGGTAGGTACATTGTTATTAACTTAATTAGGGTACTCCTAAGCTGGCCTTTGCTAAAAACATCCTCAATCTGATTGAGGTACATTCGCTGAGGTCGACCCCTTCCAACTCTCCCATCCACACTCGTCTTGTATACTTGTTTCGTCTATCTTCTTTCCGAAAACCGACTTCTGCGCATGGGCCACAAAGTTTCAATCGCACTGTACGTGCGTGTCCGCACGTGGTATTTTGTGGAAGAGCCACACTCAAGGGGCCAAAGAGCTGCATGTGGCTCGTGAGCCATGGTTTGCCGACCACTGGTATATACTAAGGTACCAATTATGTGCCATAATTAAAGAAAGGTAAATAATATGGAGAGAGGAGAATAATTGATAATGTGAGTTTTCTTTAAGAGAAAGAGGAAATGAGGTCCAACTCAGAGGTGGTTTTAGTCTTAAATAAGAGGAAGTCCACCTGATTTATTATTTTAAAAACAGAAGGGATGGAGGAGAATGGGTAAAGATATAGAAAGTTGTGTATATTAGATGGTGGGAAGTTGAGAATGTTTCCATCTGGTGGATTCTACTTTCTTAGTTAAATAGGAGGCTAGGTCATCTACTGAGAATGAGGAAGAAAGAGGGGAAGGGGTATTATTTGAAGGGAATGAATAAGATTTGAAATCGTCATTGTCTTTTGACCAAACACGATGTATTATTATTATTATTATTATTATTATTTAATCCTCACCTAAGGATATTTTTTCCATTGATTTTTAGAGAGAGTGGAAGGGAGCGGGAGAGACAGAGAAAAACACCACCAACAATAAAAACAAACAAACAAACAAAAAAACCCACCAATGTTGATTGGTTGCCTCCCGCATGCTACCGACCAGAGCTGGGAGTCTGCAACCGAGGTACAGGTATGTGCCCTTGACCAAAATTAAACCTGGGGCCCTTCGTCCCGCATGCTACCGACCAGAGCTGGGAGTCTGCAACCAAGGTACAGGTACGTGCCCTTGACCAAAATTAAACCTGGGGCCCTTTGGTCCACAGGCCGACGATCTATCCACTGATCCAAACTGGCTAGGGCAGATTTACTGACCTTTGAAGGCCTTGTTGAGGTGCCAATCTTTCTTTTTTTTACTGGCTTTTCTCATCAACTTAGGGACACATTTGGAGAAGGTGAATAATTGAGCTTATCAAAGGTTTTTTGAGGTTTTTTATGAGGTGGAGAGGATGAAAGGGAAAGGGAAGTTATTGAAATACTAGGTCATGGAATCCAAGTTGAATAGAGAGGCAAAAGAAGATAGGACCAGAGTGATGGACAGACAGTGGTTCTTAAACTTGAGTGTTCATCAGAATCTTCTGGATAATTTGCTTCTTTCTGATGCCTTTCTCACTTGGTTGTTGTAGGTATTAAGGAGGCAGTATGTGAGTGTTCTCTGTAATTTAAAGAGAGCTATTAACACAGTTTTTGCTCTAACTGTTCACTGGGTACGCATGCTCTGGAGCCTCCTGGGAGGTGCAGGCCAAGGTCAAATGATGCCTTGTCTGAGGTCTCCCGACATGAGCTACAAAGTGATCTCCAGATGGCTGCTACTTGTGCTGGGCTTGGAGAGGCTTGGGAGAGGCCAAGCTGCAAACCAAGGCTTGTTGCCACTAGTGTCAGAACTGGGGCCACTTAGCAGGAGGTACAGGGCATGCTGAGGCCAGATGCCACTTATTTAGAGTTTGCAAACCTCTGAGAGATTTTAGAAAAGTTTGCAGCAGAGCCAAGACATGTTATTTGTATAGAAAAGCTACTGGAAATGTCATGGGTGGGCCCACAAGTTGGGTGGGTCAAGGTTTTAGGGAATTACCAAGGAGGGGTGAACAGTGTTAGCCTGGTTGATGGGAGACTAAGATATGGTACCACCTGCTGGCTTGGTGTGAGGAGGGCCCAGAAAAGGAACATTGGTCTCTGCCAGTGCTTCTGTCTGGGAGAAAGCTTCCCCTCCAGCCCTTGCCTTGATGCCAGACAATTCAGTTCCTTCTTATAGGTCCCTGGTGCCTTTCAAGCTGCTGTCCCAGAGGTGGAGATCAGAGTGAGTGATTCTGAGTAAATCCGTGCACACGGGCACTTTAAGAGGAATGCCTGGAAATATCATACATATGTCGTAGCAATATCTTTACCGATACAGCTCCTAGGACAATGGAAACTAAGGAGAAAATAAATAAATGGGACTACATCAAAATAAAAAGCTTCTGCACAGCAAAAGAACCCATCAATAAAACAACAAGAAAGACCACTGCATGGGAGAACATATTTGCCAATGCTATCTCTGATAAGGATTTAATTTCCAAAATTTACAGGGAACTCATACAACTTAACAAAAGGAAGATAAACAATCCAATCAAAATCTGGGCAAAGGACCTAAATAAACACTTTTTGAAAGAGGACATACAGAAGGCCAAAAGACATATGAAAACACGCTCAAAGTCACTAATCATCCGAGAGATGCAAATCAAAACAATAAGGAGGTACTATCTCACACCTGTCAGAATGGCTATCATCAACAAATCAACAAACGACAAGTGCTGGCAAGGATGTGGAGAAAAGGAATCCTTGTGCACTACTGGTGGGAATGCATACTGGTGCAGCCACTGTGGAAAATATGGTGTTTCCTCAAAAAGTTAAAAATGGAACTCCCATTTGACCCCGTAATCCCACTTCTAGTAATATATACCCCAAAATCAGAAAGGATATATGCACCCCTATGTTCATAGCAGCACAATTTGCAATAGCTAAGATTTGGAAACAGCCTAAGTGCCCATCAGCAGATGAGTGGATTAAAAATGGTGGTACATCTACACAATGGAATACTACGCTGCTATAAAAAAGAAGGAACTTTTACCATTTGCAACAGCATGGATGGACCTGGAGAGCATTATGCTAAGCAAAATAAGCCAGTTGGAGAAAGATAAATATTACATGATCTCACTCATATGTGGGATATAATGAACAACATAAAGTGATGAACAAAAATAGATCCAGAGACAAAGAAACACCGAACAGACCGTCCCAACCTCAGAGGGAAGGCAGGGGAGGGTTGGGGGGTGGTAAGAGATCAACCAAGGACTTGTATGCATGCATATTAGCATAACCAACCGATACGGACACTGGGGTGGTGGGGGCTTGTCCTGCAGGGTGGGAGTGGCTGGGGAGGGGTCAGTCGGGGAAAAAGGAGACATATGTAATACTTTAAACAATAATAATTTTAAAAAGGCATGTATCTTTCATGAAAAGGCTGCTTCTTGGTCTTCTTGCCTGGGTTGTGGGCTCAATCCCCAGTAGGAGGCGTGCAGGAGGCAGCCAATTAATTATTCTCTCTCTCCCTCTCACTTCCCCTCTAAAATCAATAAAAATATATTTAAATAAAAAAGAGGAATGTCTGGGACTTCAGCAGCCCTCTGTCTCACGCAGCCACATTCCTGGCTGATTTTCACAGCCAGAACTTATTCAGATGTCTCTTCCCAGCACTGGAACCATGGGCTGGGGTCCTGATGTGGGGTTGGAATTCCTTGCTCCTCAGGGAGGACCTCCATATTTGAGATATCCCTCCCAATTTTTAACTGCCACACATGGGTGGGTGGGGGACCAGCCCATTGGAGTTTCCACACCTCCAACCAGTCTTAACATGACTTCTTCTTTATGTCCTTAATTATAGGACTTCTGTTCAGCTAGACTTCAGGCAATTCTGAATGATGGTTCTGTAGTTTAGTTGTAATTTTGATGTGGTTGTGGGAGGATGGAAGGTATCACATTTACCTACTCTGCTATCCTGACTGGAAGCTCTCATTTTTTTTAACCACAAAATTCTTTGAATTCTTTTAAGACTGTTTTTCACAATAAAGTCTTCAATTTAGTTATAGAATCCAGTGGTTTATTATAAAGATACTAACATTTGTGAAGCACTAATCATGTGCCAAGTATTGTGCCAGTTACATAGTAAATAAGACAATATAAGGAGTACCTACTTAGTGTTTCAATATAGTATTTCATTTAATCCTTTCATCAGTCTTACGAGGGTATGTATTATATTTCTCCCATTTTGCAAATAAGTCAAAGTAAGCTTAGGGAAGATAAGTAATATGTCAAAGTCATGCAGCTAGTAAGTGATAGCTGGGGTTCAAATCCAAGTTTGTCCAATTTTATGCCCCTGTTCATAATCACTATACTGTGAAATTAACAATAAACACAGTAGTGTTTACTTTTAATCATTAATCAGCTTGTTTATTAATTTTGCAGTCAATGCAGACCTAAGCCCTGGAAGCTTGCATGTCAGTCTTTTAAGTTCTATATATGATAAGATTATCATGGTCTTAAGAATTTGCAGAGGAAACATGGTGAAACTTGGAAGCACTTGAAGTTTAGCAGTGCTTATCCTATCTAATAATAGACAAACATGGTAATTGACCATACCTTCACTATGCCTCCCATTGGCTATCAGCACGATATGCAAATTAACCGCCAACAAAGATGGCAGCTAATTTGCATACTGCAGGCAGGGCGGGACAGTGTGATCCTCCCACCCC